TGAGGGTGGGGGTGGGGGGGGGTGAGACGCCTCAGCCCTAGCTGAGAACCACTGGCAACTGACAGCTGCGGGAGAGGGCAAGTCAGTTTTCTGTAAGGCTGTGGTGCTGGGTAGGCTGGCCAGGCTTCAGTGGGTGGACACACACCAAGGGGCATCTGGGGATAGAAATTAGTCTTGAAAGACCTTAAAAAATAGAGGGCATAAAACTGGGGTGGAGATAGTAAGGGGAAGTGCAGACAGAGGAAGGGGTCTGCATAGGACAGGAAATTCTCCAAAATTCAATAAAAGTATTTTTTAAGTTGCACGCATGTGTGTGTGAGTGTGCTGTGCTTGACCATGCTTGTGAGCACATGTGAGGTCAGAGGACGATGCCATGGAGTCAATGCTCAGATTCTCACCTCCCCCTTTATTCGGGTTCTGGAGTTCAAAAGGCTGAACCCTTTACTTGCTGAGCTACTTAAGTGTACAGTGAAGGACAGACAGAGGTCTTTCTCATCAGACAATCTCTCCACTGTCCCTGCAGAGAACTGCATCTTGATTTACAACACTCCCTCTTTCTCTCTCAACATAAAGTGCTGCACACAGTACATTTCACTTCGGTTTGCAGTACAGTGGCTGTGCCCACACCTGTAATGCTTTACTTATGGCTCTTGAGGCCTTTAGTGGTCTGTACAGTCCATTCACAAGGCTTTTGGGGGTCAGAAAGTGGGAAATTTTGATGATAAAACACGATAGTGATTTCTACTCCTCACCAGCACAATGCGACCTTGCTTGCCAGGCCAGTTTAAATGATTCTGACAACTCAGGGAGAGTGCTTTCAGGGAGCACGCTACCCAAGCACAGAAAGATGCTCAGTGTCAGATGATTCCTGTAACCACAGGAAGAGGAGTTTCATCTACTACTTGACAGAAAATTCCCAGAGGAGTTAACAATCAGTACTATATATTAAAATCTTCATCTGACTTGAAACTTTCAAACACTTCACCAATAGCCTGGGCACCACTTTGCATGGCCTCCACCAAGCAGACCTGCTAGTGAGAGGAGGCCTGGGGCTGCAGGGACAGGATGGCAGAGGAGGGTGCTGTGACCTGAGGCCCTACCAGGGCAGCAGGCGGTCGGGTCTCACTGGTAGATCTGTCTTCCTTTCCCAGACGAGGAAGCTCCCTGGCATGCCAGTCCTGAGGCGCAGTTCAAGGAACTGTGTGTGCTCCCTTAGCCACCCCAATGTCTGAGAATTCCAATTCCTCAATAAACGCTATCCAGGTAAAAGCAGACTGATTGATTCTGCTGTCTCAAACTCAGAACCAGGACCAGCAAATTGGAAGAAAAGGGACCTGCCAGCCAGAGTCAGCTGACTGCCTCTCTGTTAAAGTTCAAAGCTACACACAACTAGAAAAAGCAGTTTTTGACATCTTATACTTTCACCTGTTCTCATTTTAGGTGAAGGTCAGCAAAAACAAACTTGAAACATTATTTAAAACTGGTGATAATGACAAGCAATTTCTAAGACTTCCTTATAGACAGTTCAATTTCCATTAATAAAGATGGTCTTTAACTCTGGACGACTGAAATTAAACCCTGCAGGAAGGGTAGGGGTTAGAGTTGTTAGTCTGCAATTTCAACTGTCCAAATAAGTTAGTTATCAAAGAGGAACATTAGAAAACTTGTGGGAAATAGGGACAATACAATTGAGCTTTTGATTATCTAGATAAGGGACTATAATAGGTGGTCCAGTCACAGATCTGGAATTTACATATTAAATTAAAAAAAATTTTAAGACCAACTTCAATAAAAGTAAAATTCCTTAAACTACAGAACCACACCGTGTGTTACTCATTTGGCTACAGAGTAATCGTATGGTCTCAAAAGAATAGACAGTGACAGAGGGTGACACAGGACGTCAACCTCCAGCTCCACACACACACACACAGGCAAACACACACACAGGCAAACACACACACCACACACACACATACACACACACAGGCAAACACATACCACACACACACAGACACATAGACACAGACACACACACACACACACACACACAGGCAAACACATGTGCCCACACACATGCACACAGACATAAATACAGTTAAAAGGGCTGGAAGGCAGGCAGATGCTAAGTCATCAAGAGCCACATGAAGTGCCACAGAGTCACCAGACCCTGAGTTTAAATTGCTCATGATCAGTTCACCTTTTGAAAACTGCAGACAAAGATGTTGGTGGGGGAACAGGCACTCCAGGTCAACCCTGAGAGGGAACAGGGCTCTTTCTGAATCTCTCCCTTCTTACCAGTTTTAAAATAAAGAGAGGACTCATGTGACACTCTATGTAAATTCAGACTTGCCTGAGGAAAGGCCCAGATTTTATGAAGGTTTTGAGTCTTTGGGTAAAGGTAAATACCACCTTAAAAAGAATAAATATTTAGAAGTTATTTAAAGGGAGGGTGAAATGAGAAGGTCAGAAGTACAACACCCCAGCTTTCACGATCTCATCGATCGGTGCACGGGATCACTAAGCAGATGGCTGCCACCTTCCCTTGATGCAGGGCACTGTCTGAGGGGGAAGCAGAGATGCGTGGAATTCAGGGCCAGGCTAGGCCTGGCGGTTCATGCCTGTCACCTCAGCACTTGAGAGGCTGAGGCAGGAAGACCTAGGAGCTTAAGGCCACCCTGAGCTATATAATGAGACCTGTTTTCAACAGACAGACAGGACAACCCCCTCTCCCACCGTAAATCAATGTGCACTCAGATCTGGCTTTCCTTTCTAAAACCTAATGTGTCAGGGTGACTCAATGTCAGCTCCTCAATGACTCTTCATACATGAATACATGGTGTTCTACTAAATAAAACTGTCTAAAGAGTTAATGGGAGGCACAGGACAAGAACTTTGTCTCTGAAGATAAAACTGCATGTTCTTCATTAATTATAAGGCAGAAAATTTTAAAAAGAAAAGAAAAAAGATTAAACAAGATTGCCTACCACTTTGTATTCATCTACACTAACTCTGTTTCTTTGTCTGCCCAGACTGCCTTAGACTCCCTACGTAGCTGAGGCTGATTTCAACTCTTGATGCTCCTGAGGGCTGAGATTACATAGGCATGCATCTAACTCTGGCTGCCCTAACTACCGAGCTCTCAGCTATTAGCCAGCTCTGCTCAGTGGCCTAGTGAAGGCGAAGACAGACAAAGTTCATCACTTGCCTGGTAATTAACTCACAGCCCTGCCAACAACCATACCACAAGCGCAATCTGTGGAGTAGAGGGAGAGGCCTACCGTGCATACGGCCGTCTTCGTGATTTTCAGGGTAAAATCTGAAGCAAATTCCAAGTCTGAGATGGAGGTGGTATGGCAGTCTATGTGCTGTCATTAAAACGGAGAAGAGGTCAGCAAACACAGCAATAAAAAAGCCCTAGCCAGATACTTATTCTTTTATACAAAAGACCGAGTAAGCCAATGCTTCATAATTTGTAAACCCCCACCATTTTGAGGATTATTTCCATACCTAAGGAATATTAACATTTTGTTAATCCTTTAAATCAAATCGGTGCCCACTCCTTCGACTCCTGATAAACAACAATGCACACAAAACCATGGCTCCCATCTGTTCGCTTTTCTAAGACACACTAAAGGCTTCCAAATAAAAAGACCAGTTTTCAGCGCTCTCTCCCAAATCACATTTTAGAAGAGCTGTGGTGTACTGGCCGCGTCTGCTCAAGTAACAACTGATCATTCATTCATTCAATAAGTAGACCAGGCTGGCCTTGAAAGCACAGAGATCTGCCTGCCTCTGCCTCCTGAGTGCGGGATTAAAGGTGTGCACCACCACGCCCAGCTAACAACTGATATTTTTAGAGGAAAAGACAACTTGAAAACACATGGTGCTGAGAATTTGCCTCACATTGTACTCAAAGGTGTTTGCTGGTTCTTGGACGGCAGGAAAACCCACAGTAATTCAGACTAAACCGCAGAGCTCTGAAGATGCATCTTAGGAAGACACAGCCCCGGACCCTTGCTCAGCTCACTCTGGGAAGGCGTAGAAATGACTTTCCACTGCAGCAGCTGATGGAGCACAGGCCGGTGACCAGAGGCAAGCCAGCCAGCTTAGCACTCATTTAAAACAGTTGGAGAAAAATTTTTTAAATGTATAGTATGCTGCTTTTAAAAAAATATGTATTTTTAGGGGCTGGAAAGATGGCTCAGCGGTTGAGAGCACAGACTGCTCTTGCAGAGGACCCAGGTTTGATTCCCAGCAGCCACATGGCAGCTAACAGCTGTCTGTAACTCCAGTTCCAAGGGATCTGACAGCCTCTTCTGACCTCCAAGGGCACTGCACGACATGGGTGCACTTACATGCAGGCAGTACACGCATACACATAAAATAACAAATTAAAAAAATTTTAAATATGTATTTTATTATTACTTTATGTGTATGAGTGTATTGCTTGCATGTGGGGAGGTGCACCTGTGTCTGCAATGCTCAAGGAGGTCAGAAGAGGGTGTCGGATCCCCTGGAACTGGAGTTACAGATTGTTAGCCACCATGTAGATGCTGGGATTCGAACTTGGGTCCTCTACAAGAGCAGCCAGTGCTCTGAACCGCTGAGCCATCTCTCCAGCCCAGAGTGCTGCCTTTTGTATGTGGGAGGAAAAAACACATGACATGAAACAGGCGAGTCTGATTCTGCAGAGGCATGTGCTCCTCAGACACCTCTGCTGTCAGCCCAGATCGTCTACCTCATCTACTCCCAGCAGTGTGGGATGACAAGGAGCACCAGAGAGGCATGTGCTCCCCTCGCCACACTCTTTTGCTCTGCCTTAAGGCCAAGTGGGCAGTAAGTATTCCTGCTTGCTGAGTCAGACAGCCCCAGAGATCCCTTCCTACAGAGCACCAGAGCACTGAACAGACCCACAGTCACACCAGTGCCAGAGCACTGAGCAGACCCCCAACTCCATTAGTGCATTGAGCAGTCCCTGGTTAAATAGACAACTTGATGAGTTAAGAAAACTCAGGTAAATGGGATTATTGTCATACTTGAAAAAAAGAGTCAAACCCCTACCTTGACACCACAAGGGTCGGAAACAAGAGTCTTCGGATCTAAAACTTCCACAACAGCTTCTGGAATAACTGCTTTCTTCATGCAGGACATGTTGAAGCCATAGACGTCATCCCAGAAGGCAATTCTATCCGCGTGCTTGCTCACATCACTTACTGCCACGAGGCTGATCGTGCAAATGTCAGGATAGACTGGAACCAAGAAAACAGCCCACAATGGAGCCTCTTCTCTTCCCTGAGAGGGCAGGTTAAAAGGCTACATACAAGTACCGAATCCATCAGCACAGACTATGAGCAAGCGGTGAGGAAGGAAAGACAGGGAGACAGCCAAGCTCCCGCACGTACCTGTGACTGCGGTGGGAAAATAGCATTCCAACAGTGGGCTCTAAAATGACTACAACTTGAAGGAAGCACAATGACTAATGTTAAAACTTAAACAACTTGAAAAAGGTACCAGACATCTACTTCACATGTTCTAGAAAACTCAAATCATGTGATGGAACTTTGTGGGTATGTAGGAGGCCGGCTCATATTACATTTTCTTAATCTAAAAGGAAATGCTTATGAACACAAAGTATGTGCCAGTCTCATTTAAACACTGTGGGTACATGTCCCTACCCACAGGAAACTTGTATTTACCTACTTATTTTTGAGGCAGGATCTCAGAGAGCTCAGGCTGACCTCACAAAAGGAAAGCACAAGGGGCTGTGGAGGCACAGCATAACCAACAAACTCAGATTTGTTAGCGCAGAGCAAGCTGGGACAGCACACAAGAACGGAATCCAAATCAAGAGTGGCTGCAACACTGGCTGCTCTTCCAGAGGACCCAGGTTCGATTCCCAGCATCTACATGGTTGCTAACAACTATCTGTAACTCTAGTTCCAGGGTATTCTGACACTCTCTTCTGGCCTCTGCAGGCACTGCACAACACGGGTGCACTAAATACATGCAATACACTCCTACACATAAAATAAAAATAATAAAATATTAAAAAAAAAAATAGAGTCAGGAGGGGAAGGGTGTTCTGGGCAGAGTGGGCACCACATGTGTCCGGGTCACCACAAAGGTCAGCACGGTGCCTCTGTAAACCACCGTCAGAGACTGGAATTTATTCCAATAATAACTCTGAACAATTTCTCCCCAGGGCACACGATCAGATTTTGGTTTTAGGAAAACCATTTGGAGAGCAATGTGAAGAAGGAATGAGATGATACTGGAAAACACAAATTCAGAGAAACGTAATGATTCGGGTGTCAGAACTGAATGGCTGGGGGGCTGGAAAGGAAATGGATTCAAGGGGCAATCTGGAGGGGACCTCAGGGCCGACTGGCTGAGGAGCTGTGGAGCCCCAGAAGCAGTGCTTGGCTTTAACAGACAGGCAGACTCTGGAGGAAAGAGTTTAGTACTTCTGGCACAGATAAAAACGCCAGTAAGGAGACAGAACACAAGATCCGAGACGATCCGAGTCCAAGGCACAAAATGAGGACCATGAACATACAAACAGAAATCTAAGTGTCAGGGACCATGAGACCTGGGAAGCAGGTCACAGTGCCACAGTGCCACAGTGCAGGGGGACAGCAGAGGCTGAACCAGTGGGGTCAGAGAAGGATGAGGACCAGGAGGTGCTGGGGACAAGAGCCGGGACCCAGAAGAATCGCTAAGACGACGTAGTTTTAAACATAACACAGAACATGGTACTTCCCTTCCAAAAGCTGAAGTATCAAGCTTTAGAGAATTCATGAATTAAAAGAAAATATAAATCACATGCTCGTACATCAGAAGAAGTACAAGTGCAAAACAAACACTCCTATCTACTGGCCAGCCGTCAGACTCAAAAGTCACCACACCGTTTCTATCTCACCTTTGGAAACTTTGTTACTCAAGGACAACAGCTCTAAATGACCCTCCAACTAAAGCCCAGGGTAAGACGTGCCCAAAACAGCAGGACAAGGTCCTAGCGCTGCACCCGGCAGCCTCTCCAGTCCCCCAGCGCCTTGCAGGAAGGTGTGCTCACAGCAGCCAGGGCTCATTGACTGCCAAGCAGGGAGCTACTCCCCACCCCCTTCACTAGCAGGCAAAGTGACCGGTTTGGCTCCCAGTACAAGAGCCTGACTTGTTACGGGGAATGCTGGCCAGCAAGAGAGCTGCCACGGGGCAAGATGTTCAGTCCCCAAACCACATCCTTCAAATGAGAAACCCTAGAAACAAAATGGGGTCCTGAGGCAGCACTGGGGGTCTGGCTGGCTTCTCCGTACCCTTTGCCGGCCACTGAGACTGCTTCAGCTTCCCATGTGACACTGACAAAGGCAGTCAGCTCCAGTTAGGTCGGCAGATACTGCTGTAGGTTTCAGAGGTCATTGTGATTTTGTTGAAATGACTGTGTGATCAGTGTAAAAACAGATATAACAGTGCAAGCAGAATCATGGCTGTGTTCGGTGAGGCCTTGTCTACAGAGACAATAAGCCACACCCAGAGACCCTTGACAGAGGAGACGTGGGTGACAGTGGTTACTACTGGGTCATCAGACTGTCAGTCCCCTAGGGAGTGCCACTGATCTGCAGTTTAGGGTAATACCCGACAGAGACATCCAGTTAACACAGTTCCTTCAGTTCTATCTTCACTGATTTTTTTAACATCATCAATTCCTACACTAGGTTCAAAGCCTACAGCTCACACAGCACGTTCAGTGTGCTGACCAGGTCTGTAAGTGAAATGTGGGGACAGCACCTCATTCGTTTGTTACCCGTCACCTACTGTGCTGCGGTGCCAGAACTGGAGAGCGGGGCAGAAACCAGGCAGCCTGTGAGACTAAAACACTCCCAGCCTTTTCCAAACCCGCTGTTGATCTGCCACCACCTCCAGCCTCACGGTGTGCTGGCAACACCAGCAAGATGGAAGGTTCTTCTAAGAGAAAATGTAACACTGTAAGGAATAAGCCTTCTGACACCATGCCAACGGCAAGAGAAACACCGAGAGCACTGTGGTTTCTTTTTGCCGGTTAAAGCAAAATTTTAAGCTAATTATATTTCACAAAGATAAAAACCATGGTTTGTATTTTTAACTTAGAAATGAATTTTTTCATCTCTCAGCAAGACATGAATATTCATTAAAGCCTTATGACCAGTGCCAGCGGTCAATCTGGTTGAGTACCCACCTTCATCCAGCTGCCTAAACTTTGGGCTGCCTGCCAGAATCCGACTAACCCTTCACCTTCCTGCTCACACACCTAGCATTGGGCTTTTTGTCAGACGGAAGCTGTAATTAAATAATTATTCCTGCTTGTGAAATTAGCAAAGTGCTGACTGGACAGAAGCAGCCTGGTACCAGACCATTTATAAATGCACGGCTCTGCCATCCGTATCTTTCCCGATTCACCTGCCCAAAATTCACCTGTCACTGGAACAGCCCATGTGGTGAAGAGACCAAGATGGTAACCCCTTCATCCCTGGGAAAGGCCTCACTAGCTTCTAGACCCTGCAGGCAGAGCCCAGGGTAGGAGAACTCTCACAGAAAGTAGCATTCGGGGTCAAGCCACTTTAGCCAGCTGCCAATTTACACAAGGCCTTAGAAATCAAATGGTATTTATCTGGGGACTGGACATTTCTCCATCATTAGGTTATAAATTGTTATCAGGTTTGCTGAAGTTTAGCTAGACTAATATATACATGGAATATGCTTTAAAAACTGTACTGAATAAAAGTAGCCACATGTTACTGTAATATTGCTGGGGGAAATGCCACATTAGTTAACATGGGGGAAAATAAGAAGAGAGGTAGACCATGAACTACAGAAATACACAGGCGTTTAACACTGGCAGCCAGTGTCAGAGGCTGCACCTGATGTAATCGATGCAGAGGTGTGGAACTGGGAGGCGCTGTATAAAGGACCGGTCCAAAGCCATCTTACCTTTGTAATGAGCCCAGTGCTGATCTCATGTCACAGCTCAGTTCAGGAGCAGACTTACACTTACTGAGCAACTAGTTTATATTAAAGGCTCTCATTCAGATTCAGAGGCGATTCTACTTACTGAACCTAGGTCTCACACAGGGGAGGGCATCTTATTTTTAAGTCGCTATGGTGAAACACCTGCGGAAACACCTTAAGAGAGGAAGGGTTCACTCTGCTCGCAGGTCGAGGGCACTCCATCATGGTGGGGATGTCCTGGCGGCACTGAAGCGCTGGTCACATGACACCCACAGTCAAGAAGCAGAGAGATGTCTGCTAGTGGTCAGCTCGCTTTCTCCTTTTTATTTAGTCTACGACCCAAGCCAGGGAACGGCACCACTTTTAGGGCATGTCTCATTGCCTCAAATGATGAAGACAATCCACGACAGGTGTGCCTGGAGGCTCACTTTCTAGGTGATTCTACACAGCTAATGCTAACCTTCATACTAGGCAAGCGCTCCCCACTGAGAACGTCCCCAGCTCTCTCTTCATTTTTTTTATTTTGAGACAGAATCTAAGTTACTTGGACCTGGCTTGTGATCCTCCTGCCTTAGTTTCCTGTGTAGCTGGGATGACAGGCTCTGAGAAAGTTTCTAAGGCTGAACTATAACCTTCATTTTACAGACAAGACTGAAGTCAGGGTGGTAAAGTAACAACATGGCCACTCCTCAGCAGCTAACAAGATAAGCAGTCAGCTGACAACAGAGGTCCGAGGTGCCAGAAGACGGCGGGCCTTCCATGACATGTCAGGCCACGCTTTCCACTCTACAGGAGCACTTGCTGGAGGACACGGAGGAAGGAGCAATTGGACTGAGAGAGACTAGACTGCAATACCACTATTAGCTCTGAAGGACGGATGAGGTGACAGGCAGAAAGAGCCAGTGAAAAGGAAGTGGCCAGGCTTGGGCCCAGTTCCCATGCAGAGAGGGAGACACTCGGGAACCCAAATCTCACAGGTGGTTCGTGATGAGCACTAGCACGAGAGGCATAAGTGTGGCTGCAGGGCATGTCCCCAGCTCTCCATGGCCTCCCTCCTGCAGGCTCCTTCCATCCTCTGCATAGGAGGCAAGGTCTGCTCCCTTTAGGAGAACAGAAGACGGCGGGTGACCAGGCTCTATTAAGGTGTGCACTGAGAGCTGTGGCTACCTTAGAGGCAGCATGGGTATACTCCACAGTGCAACTGTAACTGGCCTTGTGAAAGGAAAGGGTTCTAGAGACATTTGTATCTCTCAGCCTATCAACTACTGAAACAAACCCTCTCCTCCAAATGGGAACTTCCCCAGAGCCACATGCTGGGAGACGGAAAGGCTCAGCCAGAGGGGAACTTGTCTCCAGCGAAGAGACCACACGGTTCTAACCAGCCAGACCTCTCACAGATTACAGAAGCCCAGACAGGGATGGTGGGGAGACTGACCTTGACCAGGGCTGCTTAGATGCACATATCCCTGGCCCTCTGTTAAACTTAATCTCAGAACCCTGACAGACAATGGCCTTGGGGGGAGTCTAGATCCTGCCCCTCTTCCCAGGGTGGCCGCACTGAATGAGTCTTTCTCTGTATTCTACTGTTCATTTGGGTCTTTAATTTACTGAGAATGGGTGACCAAGTGACCAAACCTGGTTTGTTGGGACACACACTGTGAGCCTAAGTTCAGTAACATAATTTGCCAGCTGTAGGTAGTGGCCACCACCTGAATGTCAAAGGCAGCTCCAAACACTGTTTCTGGCTGTGTTAACTTTTTAGTCTGGTTTTCCTATCCTTTAAAAAAAACCCTCTTCTGTTTACTGGAGCAGATTTGTCTCTTGTAACAAGTATCCTCATAGATACAAAGAGATAACACTTAAGATAAATTCTTAAAAACAAGATTCCTCTCCATTTTGGTTCAAAAGCATCTAAAGACTAAATTTTTTACCTCTCCCCGCCCCCTGCCCCCCCACCAAACTGTCAAGGCATATTGAAAATGAACAGTCAGAGGACACTAACTTTAGCAAAATTCTCAGTGTAGAGCTTCAGTAATTAAGATCACATGGTGAACGACAAACACCCAGTGACAAAAAACATGAAAGCAGACAGATCCACACGAACATGGTCAATGTTCAAAAGAGATATTAAGCACTTATGAGAAAACCCAGCTTTTGATGAGTACCGAACCATTAGCCTCAGGCGGGGAACTGGCTTAGCCCGTGAGGTGCTATGTAGCACAGACAGTATTCTCCTCTCTCCACCAACCAGTCCCCAGCCCCCTGCAAGGTACACAGTCCTAGGGAAGTAGAGACAGGAGGGTCCCTGGGGCTTGCTGGCCAGCCCGTCTACCTCACCGCTGAGCTCCAAGTTCAGTGAGGGACCCTGCCTCAAAACCTGAGGTAGAGAACAACTGAAGACACCCACACCAACCTCCGGCCTCTACCCCCCGCCCCCCGAAATGGAACCATACACATTAATGTGGAACACACAGAAGGGGAGCATGCTAGTAGCATGGCCAATGTCTTGAAGGAGCCACACAACTGAGTGAAAACAAGAAAACTTCCAGAAAGAAAGGGAAAATTCTGGTGAACAGCTTTCTCTGACGAGGCACAGCCCTCCCAATGACAGAGGCAGCACCTTCAGTCCGTGCTCCTGTCCTGAGCCGAGATCCAGCATCTCTGATAAGTCAGAGCGATCCTGCAGTGTAGGAACTGGGTAGGTTCTCCTGTGCTGGTCCCTCTTGTGACCTTGCCTACAGTGTGTCTCTGTCATGTGGAAACCTGCTTAGATGCAATCAGCTCCATATTCTTTTAGGGGCCTCAATTGAAGCTCCTAACTGGAACCCCTTCTCCCCAGTTTGAACAATTTTTTTGCATTTAATCTGATTCACTGGAAATCTAGTGTGATTTTGTGTGTACATTATGTTTTTTTTCTGTGATTGCTTGTGGGTCTCACTATGTTGCTCTTGAATTTCTGGGCCTAAGTAATCTTGCACAGCATCTTAACTCCTGGGACTATGGGAAAGTACCACTGAGCCCACCTTTATTTTATTCTTTTTTTCCCTTAAGGCAAGGGTTCCCACAGACCAGGCTAGCCTCAAACTCCAAGACCTATGGCTGGTCTTGACTCCATCATCCCGTTTACAATTCTCAAGCGCTGGATTACAGGTGAAAGCTACTACATCTGCTTTTCTTTACTTTTAAACACAACTGTCTTTTAATTGGCCATAAATATCATTTCTAACATTTTAAGAGAGGCCATCTACAGGTGTGGCTGTAACCAGATTTTCTATTTTCTTCAGCTCACCTCTCCTTCAAGAACAATACTGTCTTAATTGTCAAGGCGTCACGGTCACTTTACTACTAGGGCTGCCCCTTTCACCAACACCTCAGGACTGAACTCAAGGTTCCCTTGACATTCCTCCTTACTTTTCTAAAATATAAATTTTAAAATCAGATAAATTAAAGACAAACCTCTTGGAGGGAACTGCATTACAAATTAGAAATTCTACTGCATAATTTTCTAACATTGAAAAAGAAACATAATTTATTCTCATGTACTTACTCATCTGCCTTTAACAACTGTCAATACTTCTTAGTTCATTATGTTTAGAGTAATCTGGGAGGAAGTGACACTTATGCCATTAATGTTCTCTATTCAAGAACACAGTATTTCTTTACACTTATTCAAATCCTCATGAGGGAGAGGAGCAGAGGCTGAATATAAACTCAGGTCATGGACCTGTCATACTCACATAGGCCTCCTACAGCCCCTGCCCTCGGAAAGCAACGATTCTTTCTAAGTGTTCACACCGCTGGTTGCTTAGTTGGTGCTCCCTTCAGAAAACAAAGTGAAAGCCTACAAGGAGGAGCCGCCGAGAACGACTGAGACACCGGTACGTTATTTCATGTTGCTCATCTTTAGTTCTTCTTCCTTCTTAATTATGTAACAAATAACATTCCACAGTCCTGTCTGAACCGTTAAATGTGGATTCTTCTGAATATACCCCAGGTATTCTTGACATTATGTTAGTTTCATAAAAATATGGACCAAGCTCGAATCATTAACCTGGGTTAATGGATGTCTCTGAGCATTTGATTCAAACGCATTAGCTGCTGTCAGTTCCTCAGTGAGATCGATAAACAGTGCTGGGGGAAGGAGAGTTGTCAGAACACCCCCAGAACTCCACAGCAAGACAAAATGTACTTTAACAGAAAAGCAAGATTTAGTGAAAAGAACATGAATATTTCAGTCAGGCAGACAGGAATTTTCAAAAGGAAAAAGGTAATGCTGGCTTGGCCACTTTATGGTGTTGACTGCCTGGGACCCTCTGAGGCTGTTCCTCAGATCTTAAGACAGCTGTGGTGGGGCTGGAGAGATGGCTCAGCGGTTAAGAGCACTGACTGTGGGGCTGGAGAGATGGCGCAACGGTTAAGAGCACTGACTGTGGGGCTGGAGAGATGGCTCAGGGGTTAAGAGCACTGACTGTAGGGCTGGAGAGACGGCTCAGCGGTTAAGAGCACTGACTGTGGGGCTGGAGAGACGGCTCAGCAGTTAAGAGCACTGACTGTGGGGCTGGAGAGACGGCTCAGCGGTTAAGAGCACTGACTGTGGGGCTGGAGAGATGGCTTAGCACTTCAGAGCACTGACTGCTCTTGTAGACGACCCGGGTTCGATTCCCAGCACACACATGGCAGCTACGAACCGTCCTTAACTCCAGTTCTAGGGGAATCTGAAGCCCTCTTCTGACCTCTGCGGCATTGCACGACATGAGTGCACTTACATACATGCAGGCAATACACTCATACACATAAAATAAAAATAATAAATAAAATATGTTTTAAAAGGGGGAGAGGCTGGAGAGACGGCTCAGCAGTTAAGAGCACAGACTGCTCTTGCAGAGGACCTGGGTTCGATTCCCAGCACCCACATGGCACCTAACAACCATCTGTAACTCCAGTTCCAGGAGATCCAATGCTCTTGTCTGACCTCTGTAGGCATTGCAGGACATGGGAGCATTTATGCACATGCAGGCAATATACTCATACACATAAAATAAAAATAATAAATAAAATATTTAAAAAGAACAAAACGAGGACTGTGGTGAGGGTTATGTCCTATAACATAAGTGAACGTGGCGTTTGTTAGCTACTAGAGAATCAGCAATGGCACTGTTTCCTGCAGTCACTAAAGAGACCACTACAGTTGTAGAAACACACAACCAGCTGTTGCAGAGTAAAATATACCTAAAAATTCCAGCCAGGTTCATGACAGAGATCGGGAAGGTGTCCTGACATGGATGCAGAACTCAATGACAAATGCCACCTTAGAGGAGATCTGGAGAGCCCTGCTACAGAAGCAGCCCCACTACCCTGAAGGGCTGTCCTGGCTCATGGCTAAGCCTCAGGACTTAACCTGCACTGTAACTGCCCACAGGAATGGACAGGAGCCCTGCCCAATTCAGGAGTCCTCCCAGTCCATCAGCTCTGCTGACTGGAGCCCCGAGAGAAGGCAGGGGCAGAGAGGGGAGGCGACTCAATTCCTCTTTAATGATCCAGTTCACTCATGCTCCAGATGCTATGAATTTCCTCCAGTGACAAAACGAACAAAACCAAACCCCTGCTCTGGATGCAGCATGCAAGCACAAGCCAGCCAGGGCACCCCCTCACCCTTGGCCCCCAGTACACAGCTGGAGCAATAATGTGTTTTCCAGAGACACCGAAGCAAAGACTTCTGAACTGATTGGGATCTGTTCATGTACATACCGGGGGGAGGTGCTTAAAACCCTTCTAGAAACTGAAGCGTCACTATTCAATGTTCTCATCAAACACTGCTAAGTGAAGTCATGACAATTTTCTATTAGAGAGAATAATCTCTAATTTGGTATAAAATATGCTATTAGCTTTTAGTTAAGATTAAGTGTAGGAAACTGCAACCAAACAGTAAGGATTAAAAATGAAAAGGTGTTTCTGATCTTTTTTTTAATTCAAATATTGAAAGCTTCCAAAGCCTAGCCCTTATATTTTCATTTTAAAAAATACCTTTTAGAGAATGTTCTGAAAACACTGCTCCCTCGAGTCCCGCACTCCCACCTGGCTGCACGGCAGCGTGGCCTCTCCACCGGCTTCTACTGGAAGCATCTTTCGATTCTGCTGGGAACCTTCTCAGCCATGCAGTTTATTTCAAACTCAAAGGCTCTCTTGGTCAGCCTAAAATAGATTAAAACTGAAGCTTCATACTCACCCGATCCTCCTTTTCCCAAGTACTTGTTCTTTGCATAAAGGACAGAGTCTAACATAGACTCGAAAAGGAGAAAATAACCCTGCACAGAAAAGGGAGACGAACATTAGAAACAAGGAGCGTCCAGCAGCAGCTCAACTGGAACACAGGACTAGTAACAAAGACATCTCTTCCCTGCCACGCGAGATTCCGTAAAGGCAAACATCATTTTTTTTTTGTATTATACCCATTCTCAGGGACCTTAACGACTACAGTGTCTTTAAGGCTTGTCTACACAGCCTTAATATTACCAGCCTTTCTAGCTCTCTGCAGATACAAAGTCAGAAAAGCAGATCAGACAAACATCATTTTTTTGCAGAAAGTTCTCCACATAACTACTAGATCATCAAGCTAGGGTACAAAATAGGCCCAGCTAGTTTCTTACGACAGTTATACTGACTCTTCTTTACCTGCAGCTCCACTTTCCAAATTACTGTTTGTTCCCCAATGAAAGGGAAAGCTCAGAAGGAAACTTCTTAATCTGACTGGCCCGACTGAAGATTTACAATTTGTACTAAGATGACATTGGTACTTTAGACTCAAGTGTTCTGAAATGAAAAATTTCCCATATATTATATATTAAATAAGATCAGCATTCATGGGGCTGGAGAGACGGCTCAGTGGTAAAGAGCTCCAGCTGCTCTTGCAGGTTCGATTCCCAGCACCCACATGGCAGCTAACAACTGTCCATAACTCCAGTTCCAGGGGAATCCTGGTGCCCTCTTCTGACCTCCGTGGGCACTGCATGACATGGGTGCACTACACTCATACACACAAAAAATTAAAAATAATAAAAATGATTAGAATGCCTAAGTGTGTGAATCAGAATATTTTGAAGTGGTGTCTTAATGAGAACCTGTCACTTAATCAGCATCCACTGTGAAAATGTTTGGAAAGTGAAGAGACGTAGTGTATCATATGCAGAACTAATGCAGGATACTATGAGATAAATTCAGGTAACTTCAAAGCAGAGTGGGGGGAGGGGTCCCTGTGTGGACTGCTAAGGGCCCCTTACTTTCCCATCTGTCCAACTTCGTTTTACTAAGGCTCCCACATGACTAAACAGCCTCTGAGGTCCTGGGAATTGTCCTTCGTTCTGAACCAAGTCATTTTTTACTGATACCAGAAAGTTTTGCTCTAAACACCCCACTCATCTGCAGCACAATTTAGGGTGCAATTTCACAGGCTGCTGCCTCACAGGTAGGGCCCCTCTGGGAGGAGAATTACAGCTGCATCCCCCTAGGATGCTCACGGGTGCACTTCCTTCAAAAGTGACGTTCACTTCATAAAATTAAGTATTGAATCTGCCCTTCAAAACTTACATACTACATAAGACATACAGAGTTAACCAGGACTAGATGTCAGTCTAGGATGGAAGCGGGAACCTAACTCTAAAAATGCTTGCTCGTAATGCTTTCTTGGTATAGACTCACTGGTAACTAAACAAACCCAGATATTTTCAGTGTAAGGCACTTCTCTTCCCTTATTTCACATAACTCAATGACTAAAACACCCCTTGGCAAAACTGCGTTGAGGGATAGTTGCAATTAACATTTCAACTGGTATCATCAAATGGCCTCTCAGGAAGTCTGAGAATTTTCATTGCCATAACTTTAGGAGTGGAACCAACCCATGTGTGAAAGGGAAAGGGATAAAATTTATGAACAGTATTTTCATCCTTGGGGAGCAGGAGGGAGACCAACATGTGTGAGTAAAACCCAGTCAGACCCTCTGCTCATCAGAAGACACACTAAGCGATGCAGGGACCTGGACCCAGTGGGAACAGCAACCAGCATGGAGGTCTCACCCAAACTAGTAACAGCTCTGCCACGTGACACACCACACCACTGCCGGGGCAGAGAAGAAAGAGTCCAAATGTGCAGTTGGCAAAACATAAGCTACGCTACCTTGGAGACCATCTCTATATGCCATGTAGAAGAACGTCACTCAGATACAGAAACAGAGGTTAAGGGAAAGGGCAGGCTTAGTTCAAAGGAGAGGGCTTGCCCGGCTTGCACAGGTCCTGCCTTCAGCTGCCAGAACCACAAGGCAGAAACAGAAAGAAGCATTCCATTATGAACACGGTGGCGCTGAAGGAAATGAGTGTGTGGGAAGACACAGGCATGCCTGGTGCATGAGGGTGTTCATGAGAACCGCAGCACAGGTTTTGGTGGAAGATTATGGTTGGCCCTTAGTGACAGGGCAAAAAGAAAAGGATAACATTTTTAGTATTTTTATGTACTACGTAGTCAAAAGATGGTAAAATTTGGGGCTGGAGAGACGGTTCAGTGGTTAAGAGCACTTGCTGTCTTTGCAAAGGCCCAGCATCACATGGCAGTTAACACCCTTCTCGACCTCCACTTCCAGATCTGATGCCCTCTTCTGGCCTCTGAGGGCACCAGACATGCATGTAGTACACATAATACATGCAGGCAAACACTCATACACACAAAAAAGAAGTGTCCTAGTTTGTTTCTTCATTGCTGTGACAAAATACTCCGACCATTACCAACTTGGGGAGGAAAGGGTTTATTCAGCTTACATCTCCCAGGTCGCAGTCATCAGGGAGCCCAAGGTAGGAGCGCAGGGCAGGAACCTGGAGGCAGGAGCTGGAGCACAGGCCATGGAGGAATGCTGCTTACTGGCTTGCTCCCCTGGCCCCTGCTCAGCCTGCTTTCTTATGCAACACAGGCCCACCTGCCCAGGGGTGGCACCACCCACAGTGGGCTGGGCCCTCCCACATCACTCATCAAGAAGATGCCCCTCAGACATGGCCACAGGCCAGTCCAATAGAGGAAATTCCCCAGTTGAGGCTCCCTCCACCCAGGTGTGTCAAGTTGACACTAAAGCTATCCAGCACAAGAAGCAAGTCTTTCTTTTACACATGTAAACCAAACAGTCATTAGAGCAGCTCCTATTTAACTACTTACCTGTCTTCCATGCAAGAAAAGCTCGAATGTCAGCGGTATGACCAGTGATGGATGCCTGGTACGTTATGACTACCATTCTCATGGCCAGTGCCTTCCTGTCAACTCCTGACCACACAGCGGCCATTGTCCTGCAAAACCAGCTCCTTCCTGCCAACCCCTGACCACACAGCAGACACTGTCCTGCACAACCAGGGCCTTCCTGCCAACCTCAGACCACAGAGCAGACACTGTCCTGCACAACCAGGGCCTTCCTGCGAACCTTGGACCATACAGCAGACACTGTCCTGCACAACCAGGGCCTTCCTGCGAACCTTGGACCATACAGCAGACACTGTCCTGCACAACCAGGGCCTTCCTGCGAACCTTGGACCATACAGCAGACACTGTCCTGCACAACCAGGGCCTTCCTGCCAACTTCTGACCATACAGCAGCCACTGTCCTGCACAACCAGGGCCTTCCTGCCAATCTCAGACCACACAGCAGACACTGTCCTGCACAACCAGGGCCTTCCTGCCAACCCCTGACCATACAGTGCTCATTCTCTAGCTCCCAGGGGCTTCTTGGTGAGCACAGCTTAGGTCAAGAGATGCTTTTTGCCACAGGCTCTTTTCAAAATCCAGAAAACTCTGTTTAAAAGTCTCTCTCATGAGATGGCACTCTGACTTGATCAGCACAAGACCTGCCATGAAATCAAGCCTTTCCTGCCAGCTGTGGCAAACTGTCCAGCAGGACATCAAAGGAGAAGCTGCTTCATTCAAGATCTTTCCAAAGCTCGTGTTGGTGCCAGCATGGTGGTGCACACCTTTAAGCCCAGCACTTGGGAGGCAGCAGGTGGATTTCTGTGGGTTAGAAGTCAACCTGGTCTACATGGAGCTCCAGGTTGGCCAGAGCTGCATAGGGAGACTCATCTCAAACAAAATATGTGCTAAACTAGACCTCCAGCACTGGTTCCCACAGTTGAAGAATATATATGAATTTCTAAAATAACATTTTCAACACCTCAAACTGGGTGAAAAAATTATTAATTATAATTAGATATTATTTTCTGAGTATAATCGAAGTTATTAGCAATTTTATTAACAAGAAGTACATTAAAGAAATATATAGTAGAGCCAGGCCTGGTGTCAAAAAGACCAAAAAAAAAAAAAAAAAAAACTAAATACATAGCAGAGTATGCTATGTGTCTCCATGGATACGTGTGTTAAAACTGTCATTGTTTTAGTGTTAAGAAAAATAAGAAAGACGAGACAAACACACTTTACTCTAATATTCAGACTCTGCGTTTTAAAAAGTCCACACACAGGACAAGAAAAAGAGGGGCTGCTGGGAAAAAAGCCAAATACCATGCTTTCTGTTGTATGTGGGCAGGCGCCGCACGCCCCCAAAGGTGGTGGGGCAGGAAAGAGGATGGAGGTGGAGGGCAATGATGAATGTGAGCAAAGTTCAATTACATGAAAATGATGTAATGAAACCCTCTATTTTGAACGTTAAGTAAAAATTAATTTCTGAAATAGAGATGAAGGAGCTAGGCTTCGTGGCGCGTGCCTACAATCTTAGCTCTAAGGAGGCCAAAACAGGAGCATACTGCGTTCAGGGGTAGACAGGACTATGCATCCCCAGTACGAGGCCAGCTGGGGACACTGTCTCCAAAGAACAGAACCAGAGCTTTCTACAAAGAAACTGAGACCTGAGCATGAAGCCCCTCGCACCTGGGGCACTGGGCTCATATCCCCTCTGTCCTAGGTCATGTGCGGGCACAATGCCTGTCCCCTCTAGAACAAATAGCCACGAGGCACCGTCTCAACAGCAGAGCACAGATGCTGACCTGACACCTTAACACCTGCTGGCACCATGCCTTGGCCCTCCAACCTCTAAAACACTGAATTCTGGAAACTTCTGTCTATAAATCACCCGCCTTCAGGTACTTTGCTAGAGTATCATAAACACACTGAAAAAGAATGACCCTGTGATACAGACAGGGTACGCTTCTACGGCCACAGAAAATGCTTCCTAACAGTCTGATCATGGAGTTGAAAGAAGATCTCAGTAACTTTCCAACATTACAATTGCAGGAGCTACTGATCTCCTAATACAACACATGTGTAACAGGAA